TAATTCCTGTGGCCCCTTGTACCCACGAGGACTTGGAGGATAATTTTCCATTAGTTTTAACTAGGACCGAGCGCTGTGCTCCCGTATCGACCAAGAACTGAACTGGGGACCCCTCCACTTGCAAAGTTACCCTAGGTTCGGGGAGGGGGTCCGAACCCCATCTTCCCTAGTCTTTGTCTTGAGTGACTAGTACAGGTGTAGACCTAGGGGGTCCCTGTCCTCGTTATTTCTTTTTGGGGCAGTCTCTTACCCAGTGGCCAGCTTCCTTACAGTATGCACATTGGTCTTTGCTCAGATTATCATGTCTGGGGGACCGCCTAGGTTGGGTGTTCTCTGGCTGTAGATACTCTTTCTGTACTACTGCTGCCAGGACCTTGGTAATTTTTTCAGTGGCTTTAAATTGCTTTTCCTCTGGAGTATCTCTGTTATTGTAAACCCGCTGGGCTATCTGAAGGAGGTCCTGAATCTGTTTTCCCTCTAAGTTTTTTTTTTTCTGGTGTTTTTCTTTTTTTTTTTTTTTTTTTTTTTTTTTTTTTTTTTGAGAGGAAGTCTCGCTTTGTCGCCCAGGCTCGAGTGCAGTGGCGCGATTTCGGCTCACTGCAAGCTCCACCTCCCGGGTTCACGCCATTCTCCTGCCTCAGCCTCCTGAGTAGCTGGGACTACAGGCACCCGCCACCTCGCCCGGCTAGTTTTTTGTATTTTTAGTAGAGATGGGGTTTCACCGCGTTAGCCAGGATGGTCTCAATCTCCCGACCTCGTGATCCACCCGCCTCGGCCTCCCAAAGTGCTGGGATTACAGGAGTGAGCCACCGTGCCCAGCCTGGAGTTTCCTTTTAATGTCTTTTACAAAAGACATTACGACAGCTACCTGACTTTCTGGAACCTCTGGGTCTATGGGGGTATACTGTCTAAAAGCTTCCATTAATCTTTCTAAGTAGGTAGCTGGGCTTTCTGTCTTTCCCTGCAGAACAGAGTATACTTTAGCCAAATTAGTGGGCTTGCGAGCAGCTGCCCGGAGACCCGCCATTACAGTCTGGTGATAAAGGCATAGCCGTCCCCTACCTTCTGCCGTGTTGTAGTCCCATGCCAGCCTGGTCAGAGGAAAAGTCGCATTTATGAGGTCGGGGTTGGCAGTCGGTTGACCGTCGTCCCCCGGGACCAGCTTTCTAGCTTCTACCTGTATTCTCTCTCGCTCCTCCGTTGTGAACAAGATTCGGAGGAGCTGCTGACAATCATCCCAAGTGGGCTGGTGGGTGAACATGACACTATCCAGTAAAGCCATTAAATCTTTGGGGTTGTCTGAAAACCGAGCACTCTGAGTCTTCCAGTTATACAGATCACTGGTGGAGAATGGCCAGTACTGGAGCCTGGGGATTCCTGTGTCATCTGGGGATCCTATTTCCCGAATGGGTAGAGCCACTGTGGAGTCAGGCGGCTGGGGGGGGCTAGCCCGCAAAGTGCACCCTCGCCTCTGCCCCGCCGGCCCTTCAAAGTTACTTTCACTTTCAGCGGGTCCGGGTGCGCCGGCCGCCTCCCGTCCGCCTGCTCCTTCCCGCGGCTCAGCCCGGGGGGCTGGGGCCTGGGGCCCAGAGGGGTACGGAGGGGGTTCTGTGAACAGTGGGTCCCCGCTGTCAGGTAGAACAGGATTGGGGGGGGCAGTTGGTTGCTTGGATTTTAGTGGTCGATCAACCAGTGCCTTACAGGGTTCAGAGGCTAATTGGAAAGGGGACAGCCAAGGAGGCGGGTTCTCAACTAGGTCCTGCCATAGGAGGATATATGGGATTTGATCCAAGTGGCCCGCACGCCCAGGTAGGAAAATCTTGGTCTTTACTCTAGTGATGACAGGAAGTCGGAACGTCCCTTCAGGTGGCCACCCCACATCAAAGGCAGGCCATTCAGAGTGGCACAGGGTAATTAGCTTTCCCCTCCTGATTTCCATACTAAGATCATGGCCCCTTGCTCTAACATCCTTGAAATTACTTGTAAGGAGAGATAGGGGAGTGCTCTGGGTATTACCCATCCTGTAATAATTTGTAGTCTCTTCCTGTAAAAGAATATGGGTTAGAATTCCTGTGAAGGAAATCTGGCATATTAATAATGTCTAGCCGCAAGCGTGCTCCGGAAGCCCGGGTCAGAATCAGTTCAGATAAAAATCTAGATCAGACGAGAGCCAGGGGACGTCTCCCACCGGTCTCCGCTGGCTGTCCTATAGCGCGTCCGCCAGGACTGCGTCAGCTTCAGTTTCAGACCTCACGAGTCACAGATACAGGTTCAGAACAGACACAGACAGACAAACAGAGATGAGTTGGCTCACCTATCAGCAGATCGATCCTGGTAGATCCGTTGACCAGGGGTCTGGTGGGCTTGGGGAACCCCGGACGAGCCCCAGGTGTAATGCCCAGACCGTTTGTCCCCAAAGAAGACCACCAGAGTCCAGAGTCAAAGCCAAGCGGCAAGGATCTTTTACTGCAAGTTCGAACTTGGTCCCTCCATTCCACCGCATGTAAGAGGGCCTCGAACAATGCGAGTGCTTGCTTTTTATAACCCGATGTAAATAGGATACGTAAAGTTACAGAGGAACAAGGGAATTCTTTTGGTTACAGCATTACAATTGGTTTACATTTTAAGTTATACATTTAGTAGTTTTTCTATTGGTTCCCGCGCTTTCAGTAAAACTACAAACGGCTGTGTCCTTATCGGGGATTTTCCAGGTGGTGTTTGTACTGGGCTCAGGAAGTTGAGAGATATATGGTGGGATGTGTTTGTACTGGGCCTGTTTGTGTTGAGCCCGGGGGTGAGGAATGTGCCTGATTTCTTTCAATAGTCACCCCACCTATTTGAAAACAAACAAACAACAACAAAGAAAAAAAAAATAGAGAAGCTGATCCTGGCTCTGTGTGACTTTGAGCAAATTACTCAGTCTTATGGTGAGATAGTTTATCTGTAATATGGGACTATTCACTGGGTAATAACTTCACTGAGGGTAATAGGTGCTAAAACCTGTGGAGCACTTAGAACAGTGCTTGACAAATACTAAGTTCTGTATAAATGTTGGCAATTCTATACCACTTTAAATTGAAGTGTTATATTGTATATTAGTAATACACTCAAGGACACATGTAGGGCGTGTTTCAGAAGTTTTGTGGATATTGAAAGAATAGAGGGCAAACCATATTTTTAACTTGCAATATCCCCATATTTTTGGCTTCATTATATTCCCACGTGTCCTTCCAACAAAGTAAACATGTCGCCCAGCCGTTGAAATCATCTCCTACTCTTATCCAGACTTTTCATCTGAAACGGTTGTATGCAACAGGCACAAAAGCATTTTCATAGAAAAACATTTTAATGCAGTTTAACCAGAAAGACACATTATGTTCAGAATTATTCAGGGAAAAATCTTAAATTTTTAAACATTTAAAAAATAGGGGCCGGGCACAGTGGCTCACGCCTGCAATCCCAGCACTTTGGGAGGCTGAGGCGGGCAAATCACGAGGTCAGGAGATCAAGACCATCCTGGCTAACACGGTGAAACCCCGCCTCTACTAAAAATACAAAAAAATTAGCTGGGCGTGGTGAAGGATGCCTGTAGTCCCAGCTACTCGGGAGACTGAGGCAGGAGAATGGCGTGAACCTGGGAGGCGGAGCTTGCAGTGAGTGGAGATCTTGCCACTGCACTTCAGCCTGGGCAACAGAGCAAGACTCTGCCTCAAAAAAAAAAAAAAAAAAAAAGTGTTTTGAAGGCCAGGTGCTCTGGCCAAGGTGGGTGGGTCACCTGAGGTCAGGAGTTCGAGACCAGCCTGACCAACAAGGTGAAGCACTGTCTCTATTAAAAATACAAAAATTAGCCGGGTATGGTGGCAGTCACCTGTAGTCCCAGCTACTCAGGAGGCTGAGACAGGGGAAATGCTTGAATCCAGGAGGTGGAGGTTGCAATGGGCCACGATCGCACCCACTGGAGCGCCAGTGCACTCCAGTCTGGGTGACAGAGTGAGACTCCGTCTCAAAAAAAAACCAAAAAAGTTTCCAGACTGGGCGTGGTTGTGGGGAAAAGAAAGAGAGATCAGCCTGTTACTGTGTCTATATAGAAAGAAGCAGACATAAGAGACTCCATTTGGTTCTGTATTTGAGATGCTGTTAATCTGTGACCCTACCCCCAACCTTGTCCTTGCAAGAGACATGTGCTGTGGTGACTCAAGGTTTAATGGATTTTGGGCTGTGCAGGATGTGTCTTTGTTAAACAAGTGTCTGAAGGCAGCTTGCTGGTTAAAAATCCTGCCCGTCCCTGGGCAATGGAATATCTCGGTGTGAGACCCGATTGTATGCTCTGTTTACTGAGATAGGAGAAAACTGCCTTACGGCATAAGGTGGGACTTGCTGGCAGGACTGGCTGGAGCAATGCTGCTGAGAGGTTTATGGAGATGTTTGCATATGCGTATCAAGGCACAACATTTTCCTTTGAACTTATTCATGTCACAGAGATCTTTGTCCATATGTCTTACTGCTAATTTTCTCCCTAAAATGATCCTATTGTCCTGCCACTCCCTTATCTTTAAGATGGTAAAGATAATTATCAATAAATACTAAGGGAACTCAGAGACCGGTGCCGGCCTGGGTCCTCTGTAAGCTGAGCACCGGTCTCCTGGGCCCACATTTTCTTTCTCTATTCTTTGTCTCTGTGTCTCATTTCTTTTCTCAAGTCTCTCCTTCCACCTAATGAGAAACGCCCACAGGTGTGGAGGGGCAGGACACCCCTTCACACGGTGGCTCACGCCTGTAATCCCAACACTTTGGGAGGCAGAGGCGGGTGGATCACAGGAGGCCAGGAGTTTGAGACCAGCCTGGACATGGGGAAACCCCATTCCTACCAAAAAATGCAAAAATTAGGTGGGCGTGATGGCACATGCCTGTAATCCCAGCTTCTCAGGAGGCTGAGGCATGAGAATCACTTGAACCCATGAGGCTGCAGTTGCAGTGAGCCGAGATGGCGCCACTGCACTCCAACCTGGGCGACAGCGAAATTCTGTTTCAAAAAATGAAATGAAATGAAATGAAATGAAATAAAAAACCGAAGGTCTTCAGAGCACCTCCGACCAGCGGAGGTTAAAGCTCATCTACAACAGCTTGCAGCAAACTTGCTTTGATAAACAGTCTGGGGCCAGGAGGTACCCACAGTCCTAGTTACGCCAAATTCAGGCCAAAGGGCGACCTGTGTCCGTGCTCCTGACAAACTTCCAGCCCCCATTGCCCATCGGAGCCTCATCCAGGTGTCCCCATCTAAAGGCTGCGCAGGGCGGGTGCCACAAAATGAGGCGCGTTTTGCAAACAAACGCGGCGGTTGCTCCAAGGTCTCGAGTAACCGATTAGCAAAACCCAGGTCTTCCCACTTAGGGAAGATGGCCCAAGAGCAAGAAGGCGAAACAAGAGGCCACCGGACCCGCGGAGCCCTGAGCTCAGATGTCGCGCACTGCTGGGCGCCGTCTCTGACTCCCGGAGCCCAGATGCGCGCTGGGACTTGGTGCAATCCAGCTCCACGGCCGCGTGTCCCACAACACCCTTCACGTCCGTTCCTCGGTTTCCCCACCTTGGGAAGGCCAAGACTTCCCAGGCTTTAGGGGGCAGGAAGCTGCGAGAAAGTGGCGCTTGCTTAGGTGAGGCGCGAAGGATGGCATTAGGGAGAGGAAGGTTACTGGAACCTTCCTGGCCATGGACGACCGCTGGGTTCTAGGCGCCTGCTAGCCCCAGCGGTTGACGGTCATGTGATACGCCCTAGTGTACCTTTCCTGCAGCGTGTTATGTGACGCACAGAGAACGTCGCTTCCAGAGGACCATTTTTTTTCGTAACTGACAGTAGTAATCTGGCAGTTTACACTCTCATTGCCTGTATTGCCTCTCACCTTTTTAGCCAGGCTCTTGACCTGCCCGGCCAGAAAGTTGCCATTGGGGTAAGGTGGACCGCGAGGGGGAATAGGGAAGGGTCTCAGCAGTTTCTGCACAAGTCTTCCACACCAGATTCCGGACGCGGCAGATAGGGAAAGCAAGGGCTAGTAAGGCAGTTTCCTCTTGTGTTCCCTATTCTTGTTGAGACTGTAGGTGTGGTGGAGTGAGCCTCTGGCTGACCTTTGTCCCTCCTGCCAAGACTTTCTTGCAGGACTATTCCTCACCCAGTGGATGAGTTTGCCTACTTGGTCGGTGACAGTACAGTGACCACAACCAAGGATTTGACAAGGGGATCTTACTACTTGCAACAAGTAAGGAAAACACTGGGGGTAATTCTTAAAGCAGTGCCTCCCTGAACAAAGGTGAAAACAGTGCTTTTATTAGGTCAAGTCGTATGTAGAGGTGGAGCAAAAGCTGTGCTGGTGCAGTTTCCATCATGTTTCTACATACCTCTCATGCATGGAAAATAGCGAATAAGGCTGGGTGCAGTGGTTCATGCCTGTAATCCTAGCACTTTGGGATGCTGAGGCAGGCAGATCACCTGAGGTCGGGAGTTCAAGAACAAACTGACCAACATGGAGAGAAACCCCGTCTCCACTAAAAATACAAAGGTAGCTGGGCGTAGTGGCACATGCCTGTAATCACAGCTACTAGGGAGGCTGAGGCAGGAGAATCGCTTCAATCCGGGAGACGGAGGTTGCTGTGAGCCGAGACCGCGCCATTGCACTCCAGCCTTGGCAACAAGAGTGAAACTCCATCTCACAAAAGAAAAAAAAAAAAAAAAAGAAAGAGAGAGAGAAAGAAAGGGAAACGAAAGGAGAGGGAAGTTGTGGGGAGGGGACGGAAGGAGGGACGGCTGACGCCTGTAATCCCAGCACTTTGGAAGGCTGATGAGGGAGGGTGGCTAAAGGCCAGGAACCCAAGACCAGCCTAGGCAACATAGGGAGATCCACCCTATTTTAAAAAAAGGAGAGAGAGAGAAAGAAAATGGCGAAAAAGAAGCTCCTCCCTGTGAGACAGGGCAGGGACCCCCTCTTTTTTTTTTTTTTTTTTTTTAAATGGAGTTTTGCTCTTTTTGCCCAGGCTGGAGTGCAATGGTGGGATCTTGGCTCACTGCAACCTTGGCTCACGGCAACCTCTGCCTCCTGGGTTCAAGCAATTCTCCTGCCTCAGCCTTCCAAGTAGCTGGGATTATAGGCATGCTCCACCACGCCCAGATTATTTTCTATTTTTAGTGGAGACCAGGTTTCTCCATGTTGGTCAGGCTGGTCTCGAACTGCCAACCTCAGGTGATCTGCCCACCTCAGCCTCCCAAAGTGCTGGGATTACAGACGTGAGCCACTGCCCCTGGCCTTATAGTTTATCTTCTAGTGGTCTGTCCTCATCTGAAAATGTGAAAAGTGGGTACCTGAGATAATTCACCATTTTGAAGATTCTTTGTTTCTTGGAACCGAAATCGATCTCAGAAGTATAACCCTGCACTACTGAGAAACTTAACCAAGGACAAATACAATCCCTTCACTCCACAGACAGCTGACATGATGGTCTGTGACCTGAAGGTTATTGAATAGTTGGAGTGTTCTGCATTCATGTGGAAGAGGCTAAAGGATGTTTGATGAAGCACTATGGGCTGCCCTGGAAGAGGACTGAAGAAGCAGCTGCAGGTGAGTGCTGCTCTGAACATAATCCAGGGCACTTTCTGCATACTTGGTGGTTCTGTCACACTTAAAAACAATGTTAATTTCTTTATTTTTATTTTTTTAGAATCAAGGTCTCTGTTGCCCAGGCTGGAGGGCAGCAGTGCAATCACAGCTCACTGCACCCTCAACATCCCAGGCTCAGGTGATTCTCCCACTCCAGTCTTCCAAGTAGCTGGGATTACCAGTGCATGCCGCCATGCCTGGCTTTTTTTTTTTTTTTCCTTAATTTTAAATTAATAATTTTTTTTTCTTTCTTTCTTTCTTTTTTTTTTTTTGAGACAGAGTCTCTCTCTCTCTCTCCCGCCCAGGACAGAGGGCAGTGGCGCAATCTGGGCTCTCTGCAACCTTCACCTCTCAGGTTCAAGCGATTCTTGTGCCTCTGCCTCCCAAGTAACCGGGACCACAGGCATGCGCCACCAACCTAATTTTTGTATTTTTAGTAGAGACAGGGTTTTGCCATGTTGGGCAGGCTGGTCTCGAACTCCTGGCCTCAAGCTACCTGCCCACCTCGGCCCCCCAAAGTGCTGCGATTACAGGTATGAGCCACCATGCCCGGCCCTCTTTTTTTTTTTTTCTTTCTTTCCTGAGACAGAGTCTCTCTCTTTTGCCCAGGCTGTAGCTCAGTGGCATGGTCTCGGCTCACTGCAACCTCCGCCTCCCAGGTTCAAGCAATTCTCCTGCCTCAGCCGCCTGAGTAGTTGGGATTACAGGTGCCTGCCACCACACCTGGCTACGTTTTTGTATTTTTAGTAGAGACTGAGCTTCACTATGTTGGCCAGGCTGGTCTCAAACTCCTGACCTGGTGATCTGCCCACCTTGGCCTGCCAAAATGCTGGGATTACAGGAGTGAGCCACTGTGCCCGGTCCATTTTTTAATTTTTGTAGACATTGGGTCTCACTATGCTGCCCTGGTTGGTCTTGAGCTCCTGGGTTCAAGCAATCCTATTGTCTTGACCTCCCAAAGATCTGGAATTATAGGCATGAGCCTCTGTGCCTGGCCTAAAAGCAATGTTTAAATCCAATTACAAATTAGAATTTGTTTTTGTAGTTATAGAGGAACTGCTCCATGCTGGTTCCCCAAGAGCCTAGATATTCTGGTCGCCTTGACAAATTTGGCACCCAGCCTGAGCCTGGTAAGGTCACGAAGACTTTTTGGAAGAAAGAGAGATGCGGGCCAGATTAAGGGCCATGATAAGACTCCCTGGGATCTTGTAGTGCATGCTCTTGTCTAAGCAGTGAATTGGGAGGATTAAGTTTCTTCCCAGTGTCCTAGTTGTTACTAGACTGTGTGGGCTGGGTTAGATGAAATGAAAAGATTTCCCAGGATCTGATAGTACATACTACCTGTCAGCGAATATTTGGAGATTTACAGGCTGGGGTTGGTGGCTCACGCCTGTATTCCTTGCACTTTGGGAGGCTGAGGTGGGCAGATCACTTGAGCCCGGGAGTTTGACACAAGCCTGGGCAACATGGCAAAACACTATCTCTACAATTTTTGTTTTTTTTTTTTGAGGTGGAGTTTCGCTCTTGTTTCCCAGGCTAGAGTGCAATGGTGCGATCTCGGCTCACTGCAACCTCCGTCTCCCAGGTTGAAGTGATTCTCCTGCCTCAGCCTCCAGAGTAGCTGGGATTACAGACATGCACCACCGTGCCCAGCTAATTTTGTATTTTTAGTAGAGATGGGGTTTCTCCATGTTGGTCAGGCTGGTCTCGAACTCTCGACCTCAGATGATCTGCCTGCCTCCACATTCCAAAATGCTGGAATTACAGGCATGAGCCACTGCACCCGGCCTACAAAAATTTTTTTAAAAAATTAGCTGGGTGTAGTGGCACACACCTGTGGTCTTAGCTACTTCGGAGGCTGAGGTGGGAGGATCGCTTGAGCCCAGGAGGTTGAGGTTGCAGTGAGTTGAGATCGCACCACTGCACTCCAGCCTGGGCAACAGAGCGATATATGACAGAGTTATACACTGTCTCAAAAACAAAAATAAAACAAAAACAAAAACAACAAAACTCAAAAAACAAGGGATTTACAGTGGTAGGATTGAAGCAGCTGCCTGATGGTGTCTTAGTTGTAAAAGGTTGTAGATGCTTGGCTGGGTGCCGTACACTTTGGGAGGCCGAGGTGGGTGGATTACCTGAGATCAGGATTTCGAGACCAGCCTGCCCAACATGGAGAAACCCCGTCTCTACTAAAAATACAAAATATTAGCCGGGTGTGGTGGTGGGCGCCTGTAATCCCAGTTACTCGGGGGGCCGAGGCAGGAGAATGGCGTGAACCCGGGAGGCGGAGCTTGCAGTGAGCCAAGATCGCGCCAGTGGACTCCAGCCTGAGCAACAAGAGCAAAACTCCTCAAAAAAAAAAAAAAGAAGAAAAAAAATGTTTGTAGATGCTGAGCAGAAGGCAACTTAAATCTGAAAGTAAGTCCAACACTGTGCTTACTGGTATGGAACTGCTCCTGTCACACCCCCTGATCTCTTTCTCTCTCTTACCCTGACCTCTGTTCCGTTAAGGAAAGAAATGTCCACTCTGCTCCAGTCAACCCCACTGCCGGTGTCTTCTGCACTGCCTTGCACTCCCTGAAGAGAGCCTGGGCAACAGAGCGAGACTCCGTCTCAAAAAAAAAAAAAAAAAGAATGGGGACTAGGTGGATAGATTTACTACACTGAAGCCCTCCAGCAGTCTAAGAACTGACACCTCTTACAAAGGAAAGGACTGCATGTTTCTGATGAAGCTACCATGACCCGCCAGATTTCCAACTCCTGCCAAAATTAATATTTTTGTCTGTAGTAGAAGAGGCCATACCATCGTGGCCCTTGAAACTTACTGTATTATGTTTTATTTGGTGAACAGTTCACATACCCAAATGGTTGTAACTGATACTGCTGAATATATTGTAAGAACAGAAGTGTTAAGTATGTATAACACTTCTTTTGATTGTAAGGAATGTTCCCAGTGGGGAAATGCCATAATCAAAACAGTGATTGTGGGATGAATATTAGTATGAAGAGCTTACCTTCATGCTAATAAAACAGTACAGGATGCCAGAAGGAAGGGAGGAGAGGGGATAATATCACTATACTGATGAAGGAGCTAGAAGAAAGAGGAGTGCTTAAGGAGACTATCCAGCAGGCTGTTGAGACTGACCTCTCATTTGAAACAGTTTTAATGAGCCTTTTCATCTGCAAGTGATGGTGACTGACAGTTATGCTGACTGGAGCCTGTGGCAATAGGCAGTAAGTACCATATGGGGTTTTGGGCACAGCATTTGCCTGACACTGCAGCCTGGTATACTCCATTTAAGCAGCAATTGTTGGCTTGTTAGTGAGTGCTTTTGGACACTTAGAAGCTAACAAAGCATCAGCAGGTATTGTTATATTCTGACATGTCCTTTTTTGGATGGATCAAAAATGAAAACATCAACAAAGGAGGTAATGTTCAGCAAGCATCATTTTTTAATGGAAATGGTATATCCAAGAAAGAAGTAAACTGGATGTATTACTTTTTTTTTTGAGATGGAGTCTTGCTCTGTCGCCCAGGCTGGAGTGCAATGGTGTGATCTTGGCTCACTGCAACCTCCACCTCCCAGGTTCAAGCGATTCTCTTGCTTCAGCCTCCTGAGCAGCTGGGACTACAGGCATGTGCTACCACTCCCAGTTAATTTTTGTATTCTTAGTAGAGATGGGGTTTCACGATGTTGAACAGGATGGTCTCGATCTCTTGACCTCGTGATCCGCCCACCTTGGCCTCCCAAAGTGCTGGGATTATAGGCGTGAGCCACAGCGTCTGGTCACTGGGTGTATTACTTTCTTATTGCCACTGTTACAAATTTAGTGACTTAAAATGACATAAATGTATTGTCTTGCAGTTCTGAAAGAAGTCCAAAATGAGTTTCACTGGGCTGAAATCAAGGTGTTGGCAGGACTGCACTCCCTCCAGAGGCTGTGGGGGAGGATCAATTTCCTTGCCTTTTCCAGTTTCTGGAGGCTCTCCTCATTTCTTGGGTCATGACACCTTCCTCACATTGTTTCAATCTTTTGCTTACTTCATCACATCTCCTACTTCCTCTTTTGGAGTCAAATCTCCCTCTGCCTCTTTGTTTTAAAAAATCTAATGTGATCCACTTATCCTTCAGGAAGATCGAGGCCAAGGCTGTTGTGACTACGTTCCACCAGGTAGCATGTTGGAGGGATAGAGCAGTGTGTTTGGAGGTGGTGCAGAAGGGACGACCTTGACTTGTAGCAACTGAGGGTGAATACACTGGGCTCTTGCTGGAGTGCATCTAGTGTATGTGTGACTTTCTCTGTTTCTGCTCTAGTATCAGAGATTTGCCTATCAACCTTTATGATATTTTTCTGGATAGTGGTAATTGCCTTGTATAATGTTTCTTTTGTTGACTAATTATCCATCTTCTCTGTCATATGTCACAGATTCTCTCTTTTTTATATTTATTTTTTGAGATGAGTTTTGTTCTTTTTGCCCAGGCTGCAATGGCATCATCTTGGCTCACTACAATCTCTGTCTTCCCAGATCAGGCAATTCTCCTGCCTCAACCTCCCAAGTAGCTGGGATTACAGGCACCTGTCACCACATCTGGCTAATTTTAAAAATATTTTTAGTAGAGATGGTTTTTGTTTTTGTTTTTTCCTTGAGACAGAGTCTCAATCTGTTGCCCAGGCTGGAGTGCAGTGGCATGATCCCGGCTCACTGCAACCTCCACCTCTCTGGTTCAAGCACTTCCCCTGCTTCAGCCTCCCAAGTAGCTGGGATTACAGGCGCACGCCACCACACCCAGCTATTTTTTTGTATATTTAATAGAGATGGGGTTTCACCATGTTGGCCAGACTGGTCTCGAACTCCTCAGGCAATTCGCCCACCTCGGCCTCCCAAAGTGCTGGGACTACAGGTGTGAACCACCACGCCTGGCCCAGATTCTGTTTTTAAAACTGGTCAGCCCCTCAAA